AGGACACACGTCAAGACGAACGCGTGATGCAATTTTTCGGACTTGCAAACACTCTTCTGACCAAAAGTCCGGAAACCCTTCGCAGAAATCTAAAGTAAGCTTCATTATTCCGTAGGCAGAATAGCTTCACTTAAAAACACCTTAAACGAAATATAGTGAATACATCTCATACTAGTTTGCAGCCTAAAAATTTGCCGAAACGTACTATATTGGTCTAAGCAGTCGCAATTCACAAATATGTTTTATGGTGTTTGATTCTGAAATTCGTTTACGGCAACATCAATTCAATCGATTTAATCGAACTTTCATGTTCTGAGGATACACACGCTGAACGAATTTTTTGTGCTATTAATAACAAGTATTTTTGACTGAATTCATTACTCGACTTTTTTTAATACTTCCAATGCAGCATCCAACGCATGTCTATAATTCCTTTGTCGACCAATACTGGCTTGATAGGCTGGGTACCAAACAGCGACACTCTGCATAGCCTTATTCGCGACTACCGCGAGAAAGCTGGTGTTGTGCTTAACCAAGAGCATCGGGAAATGCTCCGACTTGCGCCGGATTTCGATCGACTTAACATAATTCAAAAGACTGAAGTCTTTGAACAGGGTCTGCGCGAGTCAGATGGTCGTGATCTGGCCAGTATTCTGCGTCTAAAAAGCCACAGCTCTGAGGTGAATACATTTTTGGTATTGATCCTTTTCATAACTAGATGATTTGTATCTAACATTTTATTTGTAAAACCATTGGCTTATTTTATTTTACTTGGAAATTTTCATTTGATAAAAAATTATGCTACCTTTGAAGAACCTATCTACCTTATTCTCCGAGGGACGTAGACTGAAATATATGTCCGTTATGCTTTAATGTGTATCATTCGAATCACAATTGTTTTTTTAGGAATGGGCTCTTAGTAGTTAACTTAATATTCGTAATACTGGGGTTCAACATTGGACCTAATCAAAGCAAGCAGTACCAAAACATTTGTGGGTTGGCCCACAAGAGACTGAGGCATAGGAATTCATAGACTTGGTATTAGGCATAGAGACAGGATAGACGCGGCGGAGACTGGATCTGGTTGGCTGACAGTAGGTTTCATCAGAGGCGTGGTCCATGTAGCAAAGGCTTGAGGATGAGACTTAATCAGAGACTTGAGTCTCGAATCAGTCACCCAGACGCAGGGGAGGGCCAATAATGCCTACAGTGGCACAGATGGAGTGGCAGAGATCGAGTGAAATACGTGAACCAGGGAGAGAGCAGACGAATCTTACGGGGCAAGAGAA